CTACTACTACTACTACTACTACTACTACTACTACTACTATATACTGCTACTGCTACTGCTACTGCTACTACTACTACTGCTACTGACGCTACTGCTACTGCTAGTGCTACTGCTACTGCTACTGCTACTGCTACTGCTATCGCTGCTATTGCTCCATCCGTGGGGCAAAGCACCGTTTCTAAGTTTTTTATTTGTCTCCCTAGCTCTCTCTCTCAGCAACAAAATGGCCTGTTGCAACCTATAATCGTGATGACGTCAGGTATGGTGCTATGATCGGACATGCTTCTGTGGAACAATGTTATCCTGGGTCTATCTATGAAATACAACTCATTATGATTTTGCTTAGGGTGGGCCCTTCACCACGGCCTAACCTACATATGCTAACTAGTTAGAGTGTAAAAGCTCGACTCGTTATAAGAAACTACGGCGGGATCTACGGGAACTACATTGGATTTACGGCGCATATCCATTGCAGGGTCCAGGGACGGGGTAATCACCACTATGCCTTCCTCTCTCGATCCAGAGTCAATACCGGCAAATATGTGAACGAACCCTAAAACAGTCATCATTTAGGAGCATTTCAATTCTTATGTTTACCTATCGTATACCAAGATTAGTGTCCATTATTAGTGAAGAAATGGTTTCCAACGCCGCTCCAGACCTGAGAACAATATATACAATATTGAATAATAGCTTCAGACCAGGTCGCTGCTCGCGTTTGCTGCGTACCCAACCAGGTGGGACAATTCCTGTAGTGTAGCCACCAGTATCAATGCCAGTTCCTGTAGTGTAGCCACCAGTATCAATGCCAGTTCCTGTATCACGCAGGTGAATGGATTCAGGAAATGTTAATTACCACTATTATTCATGTGCAAGTGACATAGATTAGACATTACACCCACATCGCACCCAGTTATACTTAAGTCAAGTATGCCAATGAACTTTTTATATACACTTTGACATGACAATAACTTACATTAGCCTCTTTATAAACACAGGTTAAACATCTAGTATGGCACCATTACGAGTGGCTGTGATTGGAGCCGGGCCGTCAGGGTTGATTTCTGCCCGCATGCTTGCCGCACGACCGCAAGATTTCGAATTCGAGGTTTACGAACGTGGAGATAACATCGGTGAGTGAAAATTGAATTCGTGTAATGTTTGCCTCGTTTGCGAGTTGATTAGAAAATATTTCGGACGATGTGGTGGCACATATTTAACAATCGCAATCAACATGTAAACAAGGTTACATCGTAAAGGCATAAGCAATTAATTCAAAAGCAACAGTTAATCGGAATGTTTATAACTTTATACAGACAACCTATCATAAAATGTTGGTGAATATAGCTCCGACTTACTTAAGAAAGAGATGGGAACGTGGCATTGATAATGCCTTGCCTTCACCGACGGAGAATATCTGGAGGCAAGAGAATTGCTTTTGGATTTATTAGTTGAGACATTTTTTTACGAGAAAGAGAAATGCAACAGGAGTAACTTACAGGCATTGCATAATACCAAGACTACATAATAGAGAGTACATAATCCCTATTATGTAGTCTTGATAATACCTAATAGCATTTACGATGTAACCTTGTATACATGTTGATTGCGATTGTTAAATCTGTGCCGCCACATCTTCCAAAATATTTTCCTATTCGAGATAAATCATA